TATTAACAAAAGTGGCAAATCTAAACGTATTGATTTTATACATCCTATTAAGAAGATGTGATGACTTAACCCCTTCTAGTTATATATATATATACGCTTAATTGTCGTTTTTGTGTGTCAAGGTCGGCTGAGCGACATAAACTATGGCAAGTAAACAAAGCGAATAATTGGTTTGCTTGTTTACAAATCTTTTTGTTTATTTGTTTGTTTATTTATTTGTTTTTTTCCCCTTATTATTTTCTGTTTCTTTATACTTTTTTTTCGTTTAGTTAGTTGTGCATTTTTTTTATTTAATGCTGAAGGCGTTAGTCAACAACATAATAAAAAAGAGCGGGGTCTTTTAAATTGAAAGTAATTTGCAATTGTGAGTGTGTGTGTATATATAAATATGAAAAAGCGAAAAGGGAGAAAAAAGGGAAAAACAAGTGATGAAGCAGAAGACGACAACACATAAGATGATGATAAGCAACAATTGAGTGGTGAAATGAAGAAAAAATAATAATGAAGCAACTTTTAATTTGGTTCCACTTAAAGCATAAACGAAGCTTAAAAGAAAATAGTAAAACAAAAAAAACGAACAAACGAATTTACATAATTAGAAGTTATTTATGCGCACCAAGTATTCCTTTTAACAAAAATGAAGATTAATAGTTCTTTAGGGAGGATGGGTGAAAAAGAAATTTTAAAAAAATAAGGAATTTGTAAACTCTATTAAAACGTATTTTCACTGGTTTACAGTCGATTAGAATTAGGAAAACTCTTACACCTATTTTAAAGTGGAGCACAAGAACTTTAGTGTTGATTATCTTAGGGAGGGTATTATCCATAAATTGATTTGTTTGATAATTGATGCTTTCAGTCGTTGTGAAACATGGAGTAATTCCTCCATATTAGTTTGTTCATTAGATATATCACACAGTGAAACAGTATTATTTACTGGATGACGTTTCAAACACAATTTATTGTTCATAATCATATCATCAATTATAATCACACAACTTCGAAACTTGAGTTTTATTGTCTTCTTTGTTCTCTTCTATTTGTCGTAGGGGTAGTAGAATTTTCCAGATATCTGGGAAAGGTGTTGAATCATTCCTATTACACGTGTTGGTTTACAGTTGTTATCAGTCTCTCCCTCCACCCTATTACATTAGATTTTAAAACTCTCATCTTATCCCATCCCATTGTATGGTTGTGTGTAATTGAATGTAGTGAGTGCTATAGCTGAACTATTCTCCAGATTTCTTATCTTATTCAGGTCAACTAATCTAGATTTTGTTAGGTTTCTGGGCTCCGATAGCCTGACTAACCCTGTTCTACTAATATGACCTATGTATTCGACGTGACAATCTGCACAGGCAGGGCAAACTAAATTGTTTTGTTTAATTGTCTCCACTGGCAGGATCCTTTAACCGAAAAAGCTTGTTTCTAATTGAGTTCGTGGGAAGTTCGAATGCCTTGTTAAGAATTCTGCGTAAGGTTTCCGAGATTCCTTCTTTGTATGGAATTATTATCTGGAAACTTCTACTACCCCTACGACGACAACTAGAAGAGGACAAAGAAAACTATAAAACTCAAGTTTCGAAGTCGTGTGATTATAATCGATATGATTATGAGCAATAAATTGTGTTCGAAACTTCGTCATCCAGTAAATAATACTGTTTCACTGTGTGATACATCCAATAAACAAACTAATATGAAATTACTTACTACCACAGTGCCCAAGTTTTACATAAATATTAAATGGAGTAATTATCTTTTATTGCAAGTACTCACTTAACGCTGATTAATTTTTTTTCGGTTTCGTTAAACTTTTCTATCTAAAATGAGTTGTACTTTTATGACTTGAGTACAACTGGTAATTTAAATTGTTTGAGTAAGGATCAAAAAGGTATCGTGACATCATAATAGATAATCTAGCTACGGGGAAAAGTTGACAAAATACCCAGACGTAACACATGATATAATTACGTCATTCCTTTAGGCCAGTGATAAATGAAGTCAACAAACTGAGATTTAAATCGAAATTGACAGTCTGTGTTCTACACATTCAAGTATACTGAAATGACATTGGAGCAAGTTCGATTTGCTTCAGGTTATATCCATGCTTAGATGGTTTGCTGTAGTAATTGCATACTAACATGCTTAGCACAGGGTATAATCCCATAAGCTGAGGTTTCAGTTCTTTTAATCACTCATCATATAAGTTGGAATGATTATTCAATGACTCCTCATTTAAATGACTCTCCAGTGGGAAGTCGTGACCATTAGGGTGCAGCAGGTAGGGTGTGAGGATAAATACTCCCCGAAGACATTGGTAGCGGTTGCGCTATATTGTGAATTAGTAGAAGTTAGAATTCATGGATAGGCCATTGGATCGGGTCCAGTGGCTTAATGGTATACGAGCTTGCCTTGTAACCAGAAGGTCCTGGGTTTGAACCCCAGTGGGTGCGTACTGATGAAGACTCCCAAACCAGGCAGAGGAACACAGCTGTCCAGCACTCCCAGGTTTTCTAATGGTTCTCTAACCAATGTCAGCTCATGATGAAATCCTGTAACCGATTCTTCACCTTATTGAATTTTAGGAGTGAAATACAATGGAATTTAACATCACTGAAACTTCTGATGGAAGCCAGTGACAGAAGATTCCAAGAAAAATTAATTAACTTTCCAGCTGATTTATTTGTAGCTGAGTTTCATTGATTACTTATTAATATTATCACACGAAAGTAATTAAAACTTCAGGGGTAAAAAATGACAGGCTTGGAACACTTTAATGCAGGAAATGTAGTTTGATTTTATTAGCTATATGCAGTCTATTTTCAATGAAACTTTTGTGGTGATGTAGGAGATGTACAGTGTTCACTCGTTCAGTAAGATCATTATGGACAAATATCTGTTTAGATATTTAGAAGACAAAGGTATTGAGCGAATAGATATTTATCTTCTATAGTTGGTTTGTAAGGATTAGTTTTGTTTTTACGAGTTGATCACGGATTGATATCATTTAGAGAACCATTGAAAACCAAGGAGTACTGGACAGCTGTTTCATTTTGTTTGGGAATCATTATCAGTAAGCAGCCACTGCCAAGGTTCGAACCCAGGACCTTCCGGTTACAAGTCAAGCTCGTTTACCATTCAGCCACTAATATCAATCCGTGGTCAAGCTCGAAAACAAATCAAATCCCTATAAACTAACTCTTGAAAATTAATCTGATGCTCGCTAGTGACTTGCTACAGGACGGAGTTTCCTAGAGTTCTAGTGAGAAGTCGTCACTAGTGAGGTCCATCCAGTTGAGAGTGAGGATGGATTTCCCGCCGATGAGATTGGTTGGTGGTCGGGCTAAAATCACGAATTGGTAGGAATCGCAATTCATGGACCATTGAATCTGGTCCTAGTGGCTGAATGGCATACGAGCTTGCCTTGTAACCTAAAGGTCCTGGGTTTGAACCCTGGCAGTGGTTGCGTACTGCCAGTGATTCCCAAACTAAGATGAAAGAACTTTTTCTGGTACTCCCTCGTTTTCAATGGTTTTCTAACGGATACTAATGCGTGGTCAAAGTCGAAAAACAATCTAAATAAATATTTATAAAGTTTATATTACTTTCTTGAACTTTTACCTGTCAATAATTAGAGTTACCTTCAAACCTGTCCAACAAGCTGTGGTACTTATTATCCATTTTAATTCTAGTCAAATTAAAATAGTCTGCAAAACGTATAACTGAAATGGCATAATATTTGAAGTAGCTTTTAAAGTAGACATGTGTGAACGGGCTGAACATGGAAACAAACTGAAATAATAGCAATTATAACTGAAATAAAAAGAAGAAAAAAGTGAAGGGAATACAGAAACAAAGGACAAATCTAAATCGTCAAACTATACTAGATCCATGGTAAATTAGAGGCTGAACTAGTTTCTTTTGCACACATAACTCCGACTTTTCGATGTATATGGCGAGTGCTTGTGTAGTATAAGGAAGTTAGAAACAAATTATCAATTTGAATACCTATTTGTTTTTTTTAATTACTTATTTTCCCAAGACAATGTAGTATGTAATCCACTTGTTTAATTTTTGCGATTAATGCTACCCTTTAGTTGTTGTATCAGTTTTGTTGGTTGATTATAACCCCTTTTGATACGGTAACAATGACTAATTACTGTTAACAAAATTATCGCCACTAGATTGGTAAATTTTCTGTATTGCATTAAAATGCTCTCTCTCTCTCTCTCCCTCTATATATATATATATATATATATATGTTGGAGTAGAGCGATAGATGAGGATCTAAGTGAAAAGTAAATTCGAATGTTGGTTTGCAGGTATTTGATTGGTGTCAGGATTTAATCATGAACTGATATCGGTTAGAGGACCATTAGAAAACCTGCAGGGAGTATTGGACGGCTGTTTCGTCCCACTTAGGGACTCTTCACAGTATGTACCCACTGAGGTTCAAACCCAGGACCTTCTGGTTACAAGGTGAGCCAGTAGACCATTAAGCCACTGGGACCCAATCCAATGGCCAGTCCATAAATTCCAACTTCTTACAATTCATGATATGGCGCGACCACTGGTGCCCACTGGTTGTTACCAGTGGGGTACGGCAGTTTGGATGTGAGGAAAAATACTCACCGTTGACATTCGCTAGTGGTCGCACCATATCATGAATTTACAGAAGTTGGAATTCATGGACAGGCCATTGGTTCGGGTTCCAGTGGCTTAATGGTGTACTTGCTTGTCTTATAACCAGAAGGTCCTGGGTTCGAACCTCAGTGGTTGCACACTGATGAAGAGTCCTTAAGTAGAATTAAACAGCCGTCCAGTACTCCCTGCAGGTTTTCCAGTGGTCCTCTAACCGATGTCATTTCATGAAGAAATCCTGCGAAGTAAATACTTTCCAGCTTAATTCTTTTGTCTTCTAAATAAGGTCTTATTTTATTTGTGTATTGTTAATTTCGTCTTTGTCATTACTTTCCAGTGTTTGAGATGAATTCCTTTATATGTTACTTTGGTAATTAGTAAATTAATTAGCAATTTATACAGTTCAGCAGGGTTTGAAGTGATTCGGTAATCTGAGCTGAGTGAAACCCGATGCACTGTCGATAAGCTCGGCCACAAACAAACGAAACAGCAAACACTACTGGTTTATGTGAGCGGCATGCAACTACTCATCTCAGTCGATCAGTAGTATGTAGTTTCTTAATATGGTTTTAAAATCTTTCTTGTTTTCAACAAAATATCCTTAATCGATGTAACCCCTTGACCTTGATTTCACTGCAAGATCATGGTTTGAATTATTTAGCTATTTCAAAAAATTGAAAAAAATTAAAGGAACGTCTATTCCCCTCTTCTATTTTGGCTTTACTTCCTCCGTTAATGTTACACTAATGGTTTTTTTCTTGGTGAACATTTATCAGTTTACCCTTAACTTGACAATGATCATCTGTGAGAAGCAGTCACAAGCAAAGAATATTCTGTTCGATAATTTCCTCTTTTGGTTCTACAATTATATATATATATATATATACATACATACACAAAATATTCTAGAATAGTTTTCGATAACAATATTGGTGTTTTAAATGATATCGATTTGTTAAGTTAGATCCATGGAATTACAGTTCACTAAAGATGCATAAATTGTAATAAGCATACAAATATAATGTCAAATAGAATATCAAATAAAATTAAGGAAATTTCCGTAAGAAATTGAGGATCATTAGAACCATGACGGCCAAATTAAGGACAGTGTCTGAACCAACTTCTTCCTTTGGATACCTAAGTTAGGTTTCTTAATGTGGATCCCAACGGACTCCACAATATGTAGTAGACGAACTCTTAAGGTAGAGTCAAGATTAGTTGGTATGTGGTAGCTGACTCTGAAAGCCTCGTTAACATCAATCTTGTGTTCTGCATCCACAAGATGAGATGGAATAAAGCTATGAGTGGACTTTGTTTTTCCTCTACTTAGCCACACAGGCTGGTGTTCTGAAATCCGACGAGAAACATGACTAATTGTACGACCTATGTAACTGGCTCCAAAGAAGCAGTCAAATTGATAGATACACATAAAATAGGAGAAATTAGGCAGTTTATCTCTTACTCCCGAAAACAAAATAGGGGCGGTTATGAAGACGCAGCATGATTCAGCAGCACTGAATGCTCTTTATACCGCATTTCTAAGACGTTGTGTTAATATCTCAGTGATGTTATCCCCAAGGAATATTTTCGCTACATTGAAATCAAAAATAATATTTGATTATATTCCTATTGATTATAGAAGAATTAAGTTGTAAGGGCATCATAACACTGTAAAAGTTCTGTATTCATCATCTCCTGTCCTTCTATAATGCATAACTCAGAAGTGAATTTAAACTTTCTACATGGGAAATGAAAGGAGTGAATTATTTTCACGCCTAAACAGACTTATTCATGATATTTTTAGAGTGTGCATTTTGTATAAATGAAGTGAATATTAAATGGCTTAACCAATGATAACTGAGTGAAAATGCCACATACTGAAGTATGCCCTGCTCTGCCCTGCATTTGTGACATTATCTCAAGATAACTTTTTATAGAAAGTTGAAAAAAACGTCCTGTTAATTTTTTTATACAACAAAATTTCCATTTTATTTGTATATCATAAACAATAGGTGAATTGTCCATGGCTAAATAGACAGCATGAATGAATTCATGACGAAGGCTTATGGATTGAAATACGGTTGGCAATTATGTAGTTTTCTTGAAATTCAGAAAACTCTGACAGATTCTCTAGACAACTTGTATATATTTTAAGAATATACTACGAAGTCAGATCAAATATTTATGATTATTCGTGAAATCTTCTTGCTGGATGGATAGATGGATGTATAGGTTGTGTGAATGGTACCACAGTTCTTGAATTCCCTATAAACCAGGTCACACGATTTTAGAATATGTTAACATGAAAGAGATAATTTATCTCTAAATGCTGCCGAAAATTTCTTTTTTTGTCATATTTAAGAGAAAATGCATAATGTCCACAGTATCTTAAAGCATTCCCTGGGTTTTTAAAGTAAATTACGTATGTACTTCAAGCTTCATCAAGATATGACAACAGTTAGAGAACCGTTGAAAGCGAGGGAATACTGGACAGCCATTTCGCAACACTTCTGAACTCTTCAGTAGTATGTGCTCATTATCTCACCAAGGACTGAACATAGGAACTTCAGGTTACGAGGTTAGCTAGTTGACCATTCAGTCACGGAGAAGAAGTTCACTGGAATATGAATTCCAAATTCTCCTAATTCGGTATATATAATGCCAGCTTCAGCTGATGTCATAGATTAGCATTTGTCCTCACGACCGCAACAGTAGTGGACTCCACTGGTCACTACTTGTCACTAGAATTCCACTCAGATTCTTCCTGTAGTCAGTCCCACACTATGATGAAATAGACATCCAGTACTCCTTAGTTTTCAGCGGTTTTCTGACTGGTGTCAACCGGTGATCAAACATGAGACAAATCGAGTTCCTACAAACCAACATCGCTGCACTTATCTAACACTTTCCCAATAACCAATACACATATACTCAAACTCATTTAATTAAGATTTCTACACAAACTGCTGTACCTGCGACTTTACAAATGAATCTATTTAGTAGTGCAGACGTTTTTTTTTTCAAAAGCGTCAGAGATGTCAGCCAACAGAGTGATCTTCAACTAGTTTATAGATTGATATTGATTACCTAGAAGCCTAAGGACGCCCCATTCGATCCTGTTTGATGAAACTTGTAGATCATTAAACTTGAAGATTTTTAAGCAACATTTTAAATTACAGTTGTCCATTTGTGAACAACTAGTTGATATGATACACATTAAATCATCAAGGATCTTCTCTGTAAAATTAGCAATATTGTCACTAAACAAATTAAAAAACAATTGACTAAGTTAAACTTGAATCATCCTTGTCCGTTTCGGTAATTATTATTGATTGGACACTGGCCAGTAACTAGTGTAATGTGTGTGTCTCTGGTCCTTTGCAATGTGGCGACCATGCTAGGTGGCTCGCCATCACAACGCACTTTGAGTTGTTGATATAAGATGGTTGGAGGACATTGGTAGGAAGCCTTCGATCTAGGTTTCGTTCTAGTCGGCACTCGTCAGTAAAGAATATCTGAAACCTTGAAAGAACTCATGTTCCTTCTGAGATTTGAACCCACGTCACCGGGTGATGCAGTCAGAGACATTTTGTTTCCTTCACTTTCCCCAGTGGAACATAGGGCTTCAAGCTAGAGGCTTGAAGTTTCTGTGGCAGTGTTTATTTTACAGGATGGGGTTGCTAGCCTCATACCCAACCTTTCCTCTTCACCAGCATTATTTCTGGCTTAACGAGGTAAAGGAGTGCGTCAGCCGGGGATCGAACCCCGGACCATGTGTATGGTCGGCGAGCGTCCTAACCATTATGCCACCAACGCACAGTCAGAGACATTACCACTTAGCTATTCAGGCTCGCGATTGACCTCCTATAGGACTGTATTGGATACTTTTGATTGGACACTACTATCTAATATCGGTAATTACTATGTTTGTGACATTCTTCAAGCTTTTCAGGGCTGTCATCTTTTTGTTGTGATAAGTTTTTTCTGAGCTTTCTTCTGATGTTTCAGATGTCAACGAACATTGTACTCTAATCTGTTCATCAGTTGTTTTATTTATTTCGCTTAATGCTACTTCTACATTAGGAATGAAATAATCAGGTTTTAGTTTACCAATGCTGACACTGATGTTTGACTCTCCTTAACAAGAACTTTTATTTCATCAAGTCTTAATACTCTTGTCGAGAGGTTGATAACCCACAGTTTTGTTCTATCGAAGGTTGATGCTGTCTTATTAGTGATCTCATTTTTTCTTCGATTGATTTGTTGACCTTTTTATTGTAACCAGTGAGTTAAGCTTCTCTATTCTCATATTTTTGTATTTTATAGTACAACTAGATCAACATCTGATGCCCAGCTTGCATCTAGTCACTTTGAACCGGATTTCGATAATGCTCAACTTCATCGTCAGCAACAATATGCACAATTACACTATTCATCAGGAAATAATAAATCAACTGCAAATCGAATGGTCGCCTACGAACCATCGACTTCTCATTATGACCAACAACAACAACAAACACCACTAAAACAACATTCCAATTATGCAGAAGAAAATAGCCAAGTGAATAAAGGAAAAACTACTTCTTCACATATGCTCACTGATCATCATTCAAAATCTGACAGTCGATTAGATTTGATCAGATCAATAGATCTAAGTGATGACAGCTCAGATGTGGATAAAAGAAACAGCTTGAGTGTAACTTATCCAACTAAACAGACAGCTAGATCTTCGCAGATGCCTACACCACAGAATATATATAACTGTCAGTCTCCTGCTTTGTAAGTGCTTTTTTTATTTTGTTATCATGTGTAGTATGTATTTCGTATATAAAGTTTACAGACTTTAACTAACTAAGCGTATTGAGGTGAAGGTTTACACCAGCCCGCGTCGTTTCGCCCCTCCGACTCCAGCGAAAACAGCTTGATTTTTTATATTTTTATGCTTTTCTTGTGAGTTGAAGTTTCTGTAGCAATTTGACTGATTTTCCTGGGTTGAGACGCTAGTCCAATGGCCAACTCTTCTTCTTTTACCGGGCTTGGGATCGGTTAGAAAACTAGCGAGTTAGTAAACTAGACCAGAAACAATTACCAACAAGAAACTCTGGCAACAAACCAACCAAGAGCTGATTGCTCAAGAAATTCGTAGGAGAAATTGAGATGGATCGGGTAAACATTGAGGAGGCAGTAGAATGACATATCGCACCAGGTCATCGCTCTAGTGGAATCTGAATGGGAAGCGAAAAGTGAGTCATCCAAGGGTGACATAGGGGAGGTTGTGCGAGGAGGAGGAGATGAGAGATGATGGGCAACCGTGTGCCCATATGATGAGGACTACGGAAAATAGGACAAAGCAGAGATGTGTTGTTGAGACTTCATGTCTCACTTGGAACCCATGGGAACAGTAATAATAATTGAGGTGAAAGTGTACGAAACTGGAACTACTAATATGTCTAACAAGATATAGTGTATTTTCACACACTATTTAAAATTCTGTAAAATTATATTCTATTACAGAATGAACTTAGATAGAAAAGTTCGTAGTTCTAAATGCATGATAAATCGTTGATCCAGTGAACTGACTCTAGTTTAGAAAGCGTTGTCTTTTCCTAACTTAATCATTACGGTCTATTGAAGCAGCATCTACTCTAACCATAATGATTAATTCAGACATGTCAGCATTCGTTCTTAACATAGATCACTTTGTAAAATGCTTTACTGTTTTTCTGGATACATATTTTTTGTGGTATTTATATATATAAATTTAGTAACTTCATCTGTAAAATTTCAGTTGTTAGATTTTTTTCGTCACGAATCAACATCATTTAGAGAGTTCATTGCAAACCAGGGAACACTAGACAGCAGTTTCATTTCATTTTGGGACTTTATAGCTGTGCGATCCCTCCAGGGATCGAATGTGGAACCTTCAAGTTACTATACCAAGCTCACTGACCAATCAGCCAATTGTGCTGGGATTCAGTGACCGGTGATATAGCACTGCCCTTAATAGTGCCTTGGATTATCATCCACTTCACCTTGAAATGGTGGACCCTATTGGTCACTAGTTCTCACTGCAGCTTCACGATATCCATCCAGTAGCCGTCGGGGAGCTTTAGATTGAGGTTCAAGGGGTCTCTGAATTCAAGCACAGGTGGCTGAATGGGCAAAAAGCTTGGTTTAATAATCTGAAGGTCTTGTGTTCGATCCTTGGTGAGGTTGTAAATGCGCAATGATGAGGTGTCTCAAAATAGGACGAAGTAGCTGTCCAGTGCTTCCTGGTTTTCAATGAACCGTCTAACTGATGGTGGTTCGTGGCAAAAATCTAACAACTGAAATTCATTCAAAAATCCCCACAAATCCTACTATCTGAATATCGTTTGTAAAAGTTAACCAGTAATATCTTTATTCTGGACAGTATTTATAAAATGTACAGAATTTTTAAAGGAGTTTGTCGCATGATATTTTCCCTTCAGGCAATATCTTCAGGCAAAATATTAATTAACAGTATATCCTGTAACGCAATGCTCTCCGAGCTGAAACACAAACCATTCCATTATGACGTATCTATCTGCTTTGTCTCTTTCAAGAAATCCACAATATCTAGTTGAAAGCCAATTGTATGATGTTCAAAAGTACATTTTGAGACCCAAAGACATGACTGAAGAACAGTTATCTCATGTATTGGAACACGCTGGCATCCAAATTGAGGCCATTCCTCAAGTTTAGTAAGAATTTGCAAATCAGAAGCTTGTAAATATTTGAAATGCACACAAGAGTAGATAATACCATTAGAGGTCAAATCTTAATCGATTAAAACAAAACGAACGAGAGAAAATGTATGCAATAGAGAGATGGAAGTGTAATAATGAACCTCTTACTGTTTGGGTAGCCCAAGTTTCAAGCAGGCCGCCATATATCTATGTATATATGCCGTATTTTGGTATAAAAATTTTAGTTTTCAGCCTACGATAAACATTAAGTTTTGGAAATGTATTAGTTTATGTCTTCACTTAGAGCAGACAAAGAATTGACCAAGGCATACGAATACTACCAGATAAGAATATCCGAATGGCAGTTGAATTGTATATATATATATATATTATGACACAAGTATCTTTAGGCGAAAACACATTGGTTTTATTTTCTTTCTTCACTTCTAATGCGTAAGTGTCATAAGTTGACAGTGCCTTCACAAAAAGAAAATGTTTTTCTATCCTTTGCTAATGTTATAGCTTATGGAAATATTCTTAAAAATATTGATCGTAAACCAAATTCAAGTTGTCAATGTCAGTAAACATTCCATTCCACATGAATATTTAAGGAATTCACTAGCTGTTTTTTGTTTCGCTGTGCAAGCTATCCTTATTCTCATTCCACTTTCTATGTTAATAGGAATGTAAACTAGAAAATGTCTAAGTGCAAAGTGCCTTTTTAGCAGGGAAATATTTCTTTGATAGTATTTTGTGTGTGTTCGCAGACGTTGTGAATGAATAAATCTATTGCAAAACAGCTGTTCAATGCTACCTAATTTTTGATTTCATCTCTAAGTTATGTCAGTTCGTGGCGAAATTCATCTTAAAATCAGTTGGATACCTACAATGTAGCGCTTGAAAATTAATCCACTACACATTAGTGCCTGAATGAGGAACTCAAATCCTGGAATTCTAATGGGAACTGATGATCTTTGGGGTCCACTGATTCCAGTATGAAGATGGGTATTCGCCAATGACATCAGACACGAATTAAATTCTTGTCCAGTGTCTAAATAGTCAACAAGCCCACAGTGTGACTCAAAGCTGATGGGTTCGATCCTACAGGAATTCATGTGTCTGCACTTTTGAAGAGTCCCCAGTCAGGACAAAACACTTTCCAGTGCTCCCTGGTTCTCTGTGGTTCTCTGATTGATGTCAGTCATTGACGAAATTTAGGTCGAATTAAATCTTTGAAAAAAATACTAACTCGGATATGATCATCCTGATGTTTTTGAGCGGTTTAGTGACACAATAGACTGATTTGGACTTGAAATATACTTTCATGAAACTGTGTCAATAGTCACCTCTATGCACTTCACTAGTTTAGAGGGAAGTATATATGACAAACAGATTTAAGAAGCGTCGCTTTACCTTTCATTAAGAAGAAAGTTATAAGTGAAATTTTCATATACTATAATGCTTAGTTTCTTCATTTATATTTGTGAAAAGCTCTTCATGGAAACTACTCTCTGACGAATATCACAACCACACAAACAAAAGCGGAAACAGATGATGCAATACTTTCTATCCTGTTAGATGCTAAACTTTTAAATGACCCCCAAATAAATTTTGATACGTCGTGTGATACGATTTCTTGAAATCTTTTCACTGGTCCTTTACGTTCCCAGTGAAACATAGGGCTTCAAGCTAAAGCTTTGAAGTTTCGATAGCAGTGGTGTTTATTTTTACGGGATGGGGTTGCTAGCCTCATGCCCAGCCTCCTCTCTTTGCCAGTCTTATTGCTGGCTTAGCGAGGTAAGAGAGTGAGTCGGCTGGGGATCGAAATCCGAACCGCCCGTGTGATTGGCGAGCATCCTATCGCTGTCCTACTGACGTACTGGTCTGTAAATGATAGTTTTAAACCAACCAAAATCTATCGAATGCTTCGTCTACGCAAATTATTTTATCTTAGCAGACCATTTTTCTGTTTGTAAGAAGGGCACTTTGAAAGAAATCGCAATTGAACTATTAGTTTAGGCAAGACAGGTAAATAAATGTTATTTGTTTTTGTCTTTTACTTTATATCCTCTCATTCCGCGCGGAACACAGAGCTTCAAGCCTCAGCTTCGAACTCTGAGTAACACTAGGGTTGCTACCCTCACTCCAAACCTTCCCTCTTTATCAAATTCACTACTGACCCTAACCAGGTTTGGGAATCAGTTGATCAGGAATCGAACCCCGGACTACATGTGTAGTCAGTGAGTATTGGTCTTGAATTCGCAAACATGCTTCATAAGAAATTATCATGTTTACCTTACTTATTTTGTTTTATAAGCAAATTTTGTATCTGTTTCAATCCATAACTTATTATTTCATACTTTTCTTGCATTACACTACAGAGATAAAACAGTTTCAAGAATTAAATCGAACACATTAGGATCACCAATGAATATTAAAACTACTCAATCACAATTTCCTAATAGTATTCAAAGATCACATTCTAAAAAATCTAAATCCAATAAAACATCAATTGCGAAAAGTTTAAAACATGACCACTTTACTGAGCTAAATACTTGGTGTACATGGATTCGATTAAAGAAGACATCAACTACAGATTCATATGGTATAGGTGTATCTGAAGGTATCTCCACTTTGGGTATATTTGTCAGTGCAATTCGTCCAAATTCTCCGGCTGATTTATCTGGTAAACTTTTTCTATACGATCGAATTTTAATGGTGAGTTAATTTTTTCATTTGAACAGTATAAAATTATGTTAGTGTTATTTATGACTGATGAAAACTTAAGACTTCAAGTGATTGTCTTTGTGATCTGATTGAACTTAAAGATACTTTTAATTTAATCCATACTTGGAATATTCTGCTTTTCACTTCAGTCTTTGGTGTCAAAAGGTTTCTTCGAATAAATAATTCAATGTTTTTCTCGGTTTAGGGTAGATTTCGTCTCTAAGCAGTTGTTCAGGTCTGGTTTGGGACTTTTCAGGAGTGAGTGTCTATAAACCCATTAAGAAATGGTTAAAAAGCTTGTCCACACAACATGAGTGTCTCAAGATGTGCACCCCCTGAAGTGTTTCAAATTAGGACAAAGTAGCTGCCCACTGCTTCCTGGTTTTCAGTGACCTGTAATTGGTGATGGCTCGTCATGAATTAATTCTAAGTCTCTACAACAGCGCATAATCTGAACTAATTTTATATCTTTCTTTTCAAGTATTGGTTTTGTGGAGAATTTTGTTTGATTGGTTGGAGAATTTCATCGCCTTGTAACCAGAAGGTCCTGGGTTCGAACCCTGGTGGTGGGTGCGTACTGGTGAAGAGTCCCAAACTAGGCCGAGGAAACAGCTGTCCAGTACTCCCTTCAGGTTTTCGAATGGTTATCTAACTGATGTCAACTCATGATGAAATCCTCTAGCTAATTTTATATTTGTTTATTGATGGCTAGAGTTTACATCCAAGATACGTGCTAAATCCGAGTTTTATCTCGTTAACTGGATGTAACCACACTTCACTAAGTCTTACTTTTGGTTTTGGCTTTCAGTGCCTATCGTTTCAAGCCTCACCGACAGTCTTCAGAGATACACTTAGAGAGCCTACTTGCAAATAAGGCTGTCAGGCTGGTTGAGGAAAGATCACCTATAACTTAAGAGTATAGGGAAATAACATCAAATCATAAACATTTCCATGTAAGCTTCTTTGATAGCATTGTGAGCCAATAAAACACCTTTTAGTGAGGAATGCCATCATCTAAATGAGTCCCAAGTAGGACAGGATTTACAGCCACTCAAATGACTTGTCTATACCTAAATTTCCAACAGAACATGGGACTTTCCCACTGTGACAAAAATATTTGGCACTGTATTTAGCTCCTTAGTCACGCTATATACATAATCCTATAGACTTCATTCAGTACCAAGAAGTTATCTTGAATACGTTTATTAGCAAACTTTTTAAGATAATTGAATCCTTTAATATATTAAGTGACATTATCTGAAGATGGTTGATGCAGTGTTCAGTGTGCCCTTTATATCTGCAGGAAATTAAACGGCACTGTTAAAGGTTGAATTTCGACAAAACAGCTTGAAATAATCTATTTTAAGCGGAGATAAGACATAATGAATAAAACAATCAAATAAGGGTTTCATTTGCAAAGTTGTGTAAGATTCTTAGAGTGAACCAATATACTACTAAAGTGCTTTGGATATTGCTCATAATGATCCAGATATTAGTATAGTGTATTGAATATTGCATCAGATAAAATAGCCTGAGCTTGTTTACAAAGCTATCTTGTCCAAGTATTCTTATTCTATTTAATATGGTAACGTAAACTGTTATATATTCAATAAACCAGTAACAAAAAGCTGTTTATAATTGTTATCCTCATAAAGATATCAGCGGATAAGCACACAAACTCACTTAGACACTGTATCACCTAAAACATCCAGTGAAGACTACACAGCACGATAATTTAGCCTGTTGAAAGCCATGAAACGAATGTGAGACCAATCGTATATATCAGAGTAGTAGGTCAAGATCATCTAGAGCTTCAAAGCATAGAAACTTATTGAAATCTAGATTAGTGGCATGCATCGGTGCTTTGGCAGTAGAATACTCGTCAAACACGCACGCGGTCCAAGGTTCAATTCCCTGCCGACGCACTCCTACGAATTGGCTTAGCTGTCAGTAAGCCCGCAAATGAAGTGGAAATCGGCTTAGAGGCTGGTAGCCGAACCTCGTAAAAAGGATACCACAGCTAGTGAAACTTCAAAGCTGAAGTTTGGAGCAAGTTTGATTGGTGAAATTTCACCGTAGTTTCTTTTCAGAACCAGATGATTCAGACCACAATATGTGATCTGCTTGATTATATAAATGGTGACCAAGAAAGTAAGCGTGTTTGCATAAAACTATATACTACTGATTGGTTGAGATAAGTAGTTGTATACCACGCAAATCAACTTGTAGTGCCCCAGGTGATCTAAACATCAGATGACCGTTGAACTAGCTTTGGTCCGAGCTAATCGGCAGTGTACCCAGTTTGAATCGGATCAGGTATAAGAAACAAAACTAGAAAAACCAAGTTCTGCGGCTGTGAAGTTACACCTGATATGTTTATGACCAAAATGTTAAGTTTCAGACGTCAAAATAAGCGCAGAGTTGTGTTATGTGTATAATAAATAAGTGAAAAAGTTTTTTTGTAGAAGTATTTTCTCATTTTAAATGGTTTTAAAACAGACAATAATGGTTAATAAAGCAGGATTTAATGAATTCATCAAATTTCGGTAGAACTCGTCAGCTGAATACTCTACATACACGGATGTATATACTTTTGAAATTACATTGGGAGATATAAGACTGATAAGTAAATAAACTACATTGAATTAGTCATGCAGAAAGACAGGTGCGGATGTTTTCCAGGTCATGTTCAAATAGGTAAGGGGAGAGAAAGTGTGAGAGATTAAAATTAAGATAAAATGCATTACGCTTCAATTACATCACTTAGATAAACAATTAGTCATTAGAGAATATAACAAGAATTGCAAACAGAGTAATGTCTATGGTTCCATATTAGTTTGTTTATTAGATATATCACACAGTGAAACAGTAATGTCAATGGTAATAGTTATAATAGCAATAACAATGATAATAATGTTGAAAAGAGTTAAGATAATACTACTGATAAAAGATAGTTTTGAATGAATCAAGAATAATAATTATTATTATTCTTATTATTAAAATTATAAGAGGTAGAATAATAAGTAAAACGTATTACCATGGTAGGTTCAGAGTCACGGCCATCTCCTTTTGTACACAGAGACCTGGTTTATAAACCCGAATTGCCTAAGCCTCTGAAATTGCAAGTACCTTCCTGTTTCTTTGTCTGCTGACAACAGTGAATGATTTGACAGCGTCGACATCATGTCCATAGTCCACAAGATGTTTTGTTATTGAGGTTTTTGGCACTTTTCACTCAGCTGTATTCAACCATTTTGGCAAGTGCTCTATCATGCGAATAGACAATTGCCTTTCTGTACGACCTATGTATTTGCTTCCACAAACACACTCAAATTGATATACGCAGCTTGAAGTGTCCAGATTGTTGAAGCACTCGCTTAGTGGCGTTAAGGAAAATAATTTTTGCAACATGACCTTGAAAACATCCGCACCTGTCTTTCTGCATGATTAATTCAATGTAGTTTATCTACTTATCAGTCTTATATCTCCTAATGTAGTTTCAAAAGTATATACATCCGTGTATGTAGAGTATTCAGCTGACGAGTTCTACCAAAATTTGATGAATTCATTAAATCCTGCTTTGCTAACGTTTATTGCTTGTTTTAAATTCGTATCGGGAAATAAATGTTTCCACTTCTTGAAGAAGCGTCTCCCGGAAAGCACTATCGATGCATTAAATGGTTTTAGGCAAAGGTTTCACAGATATTTCATTCATTCTGTATATCACTTCCAACTGTGATGAAACGTTCGCCGATATATTCACTTTCTAAGTTACATATGTTCTCCTCTAGAACAAAAGTTCGTTAGTATCCACCATCTGCCAAGAGGTTTGAGACACTGAACTCTAAGTAGATACTCCTCTTATAGTGATATACCATGGACAAGAACTGAAATTGTCTGCCAATTTTAATTGGTCAAAAAGTCATACTGAACAGATCCAAAAGTGCACTTCGTACCAACAACCGAAAGACTATGAGTAAATTATAGTGCTTATACAGAGGTGCAATTGTCATGCCAGTATTCTAGTTTAGGTAACTGACATGTTCTCTGGTTGATAGATTTATATTTAATGACACCAAGGCTAGTGAGCTGGTCATTATCTTTGTCCATTGTCATGCTTCTAATAGCAGGTGGTGACTTATGAAGGAAAATTCAATCGAAAATCGTTGAAAATAAAAAAGCGGCATTGAGCGTCAGTTTTAGGTTGAAGAACAGAAGTTTTACGAGCTTTGTATATTATCTGCAGAAAAATTAAACGTTTCTTGTACTAGTTTGATATACCTGTAACAACAGAAGACAAGGGCCAGGCAACAGATCGTTTATTACGAAAAATCAACACGTATTTATAGATTTTTATGTACATTATTGTAGGTCAATGTTAGTAGAAAATACAGTCTGTTGATTGGTTGTTTCTCACACAAGGTTAACCTTGCATCTCTTGTGGCTGTGTCAGTTCATCTATATGTTAACTGTAACCGCCTGTTCACCTTGACCTTTGACCTCAATTACTGTTAACCAATTTGGCCAGCAACCATCTCTCACCACAACATGACTAATATTTGATACATAAACATTGACCTCAATTACTGTCCACCACTTGGCTAGTAGACAGCTCTCACCACACTCGTCCCCCCGTCAAATAGTTTGGACTGAAGTCGGCTCGGTCTTCTCGATTCTTGGGGCTTTGCTCTGTTGTCTTGCTGTCTGGAATCTCGGCTCTTTCGGCTGTCCACTTGTTTAACGGTGTTTACCATTGCGATTGCGTCTGCATAACCCCATCTCAACGTGACCATATATGGTCCTTCCCACTTTGGAAACTGTTTGCCTGACCCTGTCGCACATTCGTAGGTATTTCGCCTCACACTTCCATATGCTGCTTTCTCCCGACCTCCCAGCAGCGTCCCAAGTAGCAGCCTCATCGCTGACAGATCTTGAACGCCACTCAACTGCGAAGAAGCCTCGAAGTCCTGCCCGAAGATCCATATGTCTCCATGAAAAACTGCAGGGCATCGGCTTTCCATTTGTCGGTAGGCAGCGACACCAAATGTAACAACAGAAGACAAGGGCCAGGCAACAGATCGTTTATTACGAAAAATCAACACGTATTTATAGATTTTTATGTACATTATTGTAGGTCAATGTTAGTAGAAAATACAGTCTGTTGATTGGTTGTTTCTCACACAAGGTTAACCTTGCATCTCTTGTGGCTGTGTCAGTTCATCTATATGTTAACTGTAACCGCCTGTTCACCTTGACCTTTGACCTCAATTACTGTTAACCAATTTGGCCAGCAACCATCTCTCACCACAACATGACTAATATTTGATACATAAACATTGACCTCAATTACTGTCCACCACTTGGCTAGTAGACAGCTCTCACCACATACCCACTTAATTATAACATTATTTATGAAGTCACTAGTCATCTTAAAAACTTCTGCCTTTCTATTTGCTGTTGTAACCGCTGCATAACTATGAAGTTTTCTCAATCTATTTTCTTTTCTTTTCTTTCTTTTTTCCAAGGTGAATGATACTCCAGTTGACAATTTAACCTGCAGTGAAGTAGTAAATCTTATCAGTCGATCAGAAAAACGACTAGATCTTTTGATACAACGTCGTATAACAAAACAATCTCAGCGAAGTAAACACTCACATCAGAATGAAATGGTTGAATTTTCTAATAAATCCTCACACAGTGGAGGGAGTGGAGTAAAATCTGGCGTTGTGTGTACATCTTCCATTGACAGTGAGCATATAAATATCACAGCTTTATAAACTTTATCATTCCTCTTTTTCAATGCTTCCATAGTCCTTATGATGAAACATTGTTTTGGGTAGAAATTTGAAGTGTTACAATTCAACAAACACAACCCGATGTAGCATTTTGATAGCTATGTACATATAATTATAATAATAACCATTTTCTGTTGCTGCATAATGCTACTACTTACAACTTTAAAAGTAGTTTGAAATTTCTACCAGAAATAATAACCTAATTGGGTTTTTTTTTCAGATTGCTTCTTTTAAATCAACCATAAATCTTTATTTCTTCTTCCTTTTACAAATACTACTTTAGATCGCCAAGTAGTGATATTTTCGAAATGTCTCTACTGTTATTTTTGTGTTAATTTTAGTCGTATAATGTCATCAATCCATTTGAGTGAAAGAGTGAAACAATACATATATATATATATGCTTCTTGTACAAAATAGATGATTAGATTTCTTTTAGTTAATTGTACTTCATCCATATACATTCAGTGGAACACAATCTGTTTGTGTGCATTCAAAATGAAATTTAGTATTCAGAAATAAATTCGATAAAATAATTACAACTTTAGGAATTAATTCCAGTACTTTTATGATGATCACTGAATTATTCTGTTTAGATCTACTCCTTGTTTTCTCATTAGCAGTGATAAGTTTCATCATTTTTCAGACCCTGTGAATCTATCATCATTTTTTTACTGAATGATTCTGTCACTTTCACTGGACAGCCTCTTGAAGCGTCTTTTCTTTTTGTTTTCAATCTATTGTTTCTTTTAACCTCTATTGTATAGCAATTATACATATATGACTACTAGAATAGTAAGCTATTATTGTCGTTACTATTGTTATGACAACTGTTGCTATCACAGTAATTAGCTGACTTTTGGAAGGTGTAGTTTAGTTTGAGACTCTATCTCTTATACACAAATAATAGTAAGCAAATGAATTCAAAAGACAAAAGTTGGTATTCTGGCTTCTATGTAACTACTGTTGTGTTTACTTGATACTAAAGTTATCCCTCACGGTTTCAAATGTCACATACTGAATAACTAATTGACTGGCTTCGACAGAGAACTTTGCACAGAAGTACAGTAGTCCAGGTTGCCACATTCCGTGTAGCTCGTTAAGAAAAAAAGAGAGAAAAAACAGATTGATCTCCAGCCATTGTTACTCAGCATTCTGAGGACCTCAACCAGAAAGCCTTAACCTCCTTACTCGGATCAGACTAACTGTTAAAGATTTCATGAAATGATGACAAGTTTTGGTTAGACTACCATTCGCCTTTTTCCAGGAAAATCCTATGGCAGCTAACTTCGCCCGTCGAGGAAGACAATGGCTAGGCATACGTAACACGTCTTAACCACCTCAATCGATGTAACTCCACAGTCTCGTCTATTCATTTCCCCTCTTCACCTAGCACTCGACGCCTAACCTCAATATTACGCACCCTATTATGCCAACTAACACAGGAAATAGAACACAAACACCTATGATCAAAGACAGCTAGATTTTTCGTGTCTTCTACTTTTAGTGGCCATGTCTCACGCACAACTGTAAAAGAGGATAGAGCCAACTGCTTTGCAGTACACATATCCTTTGGTCAATAGCCGGATACCACGTTTATGACAGAGGTGAAGTAAGTTGGCATGTGCAAACGCCTACCAACTGGCGTTGGCTGATGCAACTTCCCACTTCACTCCCTATCTCTACGCTAGGAGTTGATGTAGTCCAGTCCTGTAGCATCATCTCACATTTGGCGGGAGCGAGTCACATGCCAAATATTCTCAGATTGTAGCTCAAGGTGTTCAGAAGGCTCTGCATTCTGTTAGCGTCTTCGCCTAAAAGGACTATATCATTCACATATCCTGAATCAGCGAGATTATTCCTTGGTGGTAACAATTCAATCCCTGAATCTCTGAAGTCAGCAGTTAGGTTTAATTCCATTAGTACATCTATGATGAAATTATGTAAAACTGGAGACAGTGGACATCCCTGACCGACACCACTAGTTGTCACTGCTTCAGATAAAAACTCTCCGTAGATTCTCACCTGGCTGCATGAGTTCAAGTAAAGTACCTTGATCAGTCTGATTTGTTTTATTGGTATTCCATTCACAACCAAACATCGCCATAGTAACTCTCGGTCAACGGAATAGAATGCCGCTTTTAGGTCAAGAAATATGGTGATTGTTGGACGCCGGTGAGTATGCCTATGCTCTAGAATCTTTCGAAGGGTGAAGACATGATCCATACACCCTCTTTCTGAGTCAAGAAAATCAATCCTAGTGATACAGTCACGGTGTTTGTTTCCTTCTGCTTGTAATTCCCTGTATTATTATTTACTTAGCGACCACAAATTGCGAAACTGAAAGCCAGTATTTCATTTAGAATCCATTCCTTAGGTTCAGCTGCCTACTAAAGTGTGATAGTTTTCACTCTCCAAATTAGAAATAACACTTGATGTTTCAAAAGTGAGACTGGACAGATTGCAAGACTCGGTCGAAATACTTACAAATTCGTTTAAAATGAAGAAAGCAATCCGAACTTTGTAGGCCAAAAGGTTCCTAGCATTATTTCTCCTTTATTTTTTCACAATCCGAAAGTTTTTTCAAATTAAGTACATCAAAACAGATGAAGTTGGGCAACTTCCATCTATCTAATAGCCAGAATATGTTGTTTAACTACCTGATGAAGTCGAAGACGAATGAGCACTCTGTAAACCACTGCGTGTTGACACAAACGAAATGAAAACGAAACAGAATACTAAAGTATGCAGAAGAACAATTGTAGCTTGATGCAAATTGATAAGAAGCTGCCAAAACTGAAATCAACATTTTAAGTCATTGGCTACAGAGTTTATGTTGTCACAATGAAATAACCTCATTGGACAACTTGTTTAACATTGGACCAGTTTCAAACCAATCGAAACAATTTATTCTCCTATAACCTAGCCGAACTTTAATGCGCCTAAGAATGTATAAATATGATGTGTTTTTCCTTAATGAAGGTCCGTTAGCAAGTCTCTTATCTTCCTCGTTATGGAATAAATAACCATGCAAACAGTTTTCAGAGCTATATTTTCCACGGCACTAAACAGCAATTACGCAACTTAGTTCGCGATTATTAAACAGAACTTAAAAGCAGATTTCATTACTAAGGTAAACATCACTAAATTTCCAGAAAAAAAAAAACACTTTTCGTAATTTCTACATGCCTAGTAACGCAAACTGAGAGAAATTAATAGGATACTTTAGATTTATTTGCCAGATCTTAAGATAACAGGTAAAGCTAATAAAGAAAAGCTTAATTCGAAATGCGGTGAACAGTATGTGGTAGACGATTAACTTTGGAAGAAATTCAATAAATTTTGTAAGGATTTGAATTCATTTTAGAACAAACACATCGATTTCATCTTTGAAGCACAAGACTCCAATTAATAAGCAGACTTGCTCAATAATTGACATCAGTTAGAGATTAGGATAAGAAAATGCATGAACTGAGTAGATGTCTAATCTTAATGTGAAAATTTGACAGCATTCAACAATTATTTGTTTCTGCAGAATTATTACTACTGACTATTTTATAAGTAGTTCAACTTGTTATGTGAAAAAACTTAAAGACCATCAATAGCAGATAGGTGTAATTCCAAAGTTAACGAGCTCCTAGTTTCTAATATGCTTATACTGTGTTTGTCATAAATCCCTTGGTTTCTCCACATTCATTAATGTGCCTGCTGTTAGTTCAGAAGAACCTCTGTTACTGATATCATAGACGCTAAGCCGTCGAAATCTATATACACTGAGCAATAGAACAATCGTTTTGACAATCCGAATGGAAAACACAGGGAACCTAGAAGTAAAACTTGACAATTTAGCCTTCAACCTGCAAGTCACTGATGTGCTATCTGAGAATAAATGATTAAAATTCCACATTATATAGTGCACTGGCTCTTCGCTTCATGTTTAATTCGTTATTCTACTACAGCACCGTCACATATGTAAAGTCATATTATGAGATATCTATTTAATCTCCACATTTCCAACGACTGCTTTCTATTACTTTATGTTCTTTATACAAATTTTGATGATCATACTTTAACTAGATGAATCTAATCACTGTGGTTTTGCCAAAACTCACTGGTCACAAACTGCATTTCGTGTGTAAGATTCACTAACGAAAAAGACAAATATTCCATTATAGCGAAAATATTCATTCAGACATTTATAAAACACAAAATAATTGAGCAAAGAATATCCTTTTCAATAACTCTCTCTTCTAGCTCTACAATTATATATACATATGTTTATATACATAGAATATTCTAGATTAGTAGTCAATAACAATATTAGTGATTTCTAAATAATATCGATTTGTAAAGTAAGATCAATGGAATTACAGTTCATTAAAGATGCTTAGATAATAATAATAAAGATGTAATAGCAAATAGAATATCAACTAAAATTAGAAAAATTCCACAAAAATTGAGGATCATTCAAACCTAGATGGCCAAGGTAAGGATAATGTCTGAACTAGCTTCTTTTGGACGCACAAATTAGGCTTCTTGATGTGAATCCCAACAGCCTCAGCAATATTTAGTAATCAAACTCTTAAGGCGAAATTAGGATTTGTTGGTATGCGGTAGGTGACTCTGAAAGCCTCTTTGACATCAACTTTGTGTTCTGTATCCACAAGGTGAGAAAGAATAGAGCTATGAATGGATTTTTTTGTTCTTTACTCAACCACACAGGATGGTATTCAGAAATCCGACGAGAAACACGCCTAGTTTTACGGCCTGTGTAACTGGCTCCACAGAAGCAGTCAAATTGGTAGATACGCATGGAAGAGGCGAAATCAGGCAGTTTATATCTTACTCCTGAACGCAAAAGAGGAGTGATTTTGAAGACACACCGCAATTCAGCAGCACTGAATGCTCTTTTTACCGCATTTCTAAGGCATTGTGTTAGTATCTCGCTGTTGTTGTTCCATTGAAGAACATTTTGATATAAAAACATTGATGACTATAACTTAAACTTTTAAGGCTTCTAGCTCAAAAACGTCTTTTTGACACACTGAAGATCAATAAATATGGCATTTATATACAACATCACCGGTGTTATTACAGATGAACAAGCAGAAGAGATGCTGGTTACATTGATAAGGCATTGCCAATTCTGAAAATATCATTTACGGAGCTGTCACTACTACCTACTAACAGAAATGGTCTTTCCTAACTTATTAGCAGTTATACGAAGACCACAAATGCATGCATAGATATGCCAATTAAAGGAGAACTTATCACTAGAGTACTAAAGTCATAGTTTAATCACTTCAGAAACGAATTAGATGTGCGACATGGCATTCAGACGAAGGAAAGAAAAGTCTGGTTCATTGTGCGTACTACCGGTCAAGTTTGCGATATAACTATTAATTTACAC